ATGAAACTGTGTATTTTAATAATGAAATGGAGATCTTTTTTAAAGGTTAAAACCTCATTTAATTTTATGTCTTATAGGGTTTATACTGAGCACAATATTGTATAACTGTAATAGCTGAACTGTAAACCTAAAAATTTACAGCCAATTTGGAAAGGGATGCATCTTAGCTCAGAAAATTGTTATTGAATATGTCAATGCTGATGTAATGAAATGCTTCTTCTAAGCATGCGGTTATTAAATAAATAATTTTTTTGAAAAAGGCAAGGAAAGGGAGTCCAGGGAATAACACGCATGACAACTGCCTGTTAACTGGGACTACAGACAGGGAATCCAGGGAGGAACACGCATGACAACTGCCCGTTAACTGGGACTACAGACAATCACTGTTCACTGAAGCCAGGAAGAAGGTGATGGTATGTGTACTGCATACACCGATCCCCTGATCTCTGTACTTGGCACAGGATTTTTTTGCATGTGTGTGTATGTGGTCTGTGCATGCATGTCCAGGCACATCTTAGGAGGTCACAGGTCGATGTCACGTTTGGGATTACTCTACACTCTTATTGAGGTAAGGGTCTCTCCCTGAACCTAGAGCTCATGGATTTGGTTAGTGCAGCCAACTAGCTTCCTCCAGGGTTCCCATCTCCACCTCCTGTTGGGGGGGGGGGGGGGGGGGAGGTGTCACTGCATCCAGCTGGTTTCAACATGGTGCTGGGGAGCTGGGTGTTTTCTTCTCCTAACCTTGGCAGGTTTTGGTAATATTTTATTTATAAAATAAAAATTACACACACACATATTCTGTTTGATGGTCTTTTCTTTTGACAAGATTGCCTTTCTTAGTTCCTTGCGTTACCATGCAGATTTCAGAGTATGCCTGCAGAGGAAAACAGCCTGCCAAGATCTGACTGAGGAGGCACTGCACCTACAGGTCAAAGTGGAACACACGGCATTCTCTGTCGTGCACGTGAATTCACTCCACTTGTATCTGGTGCCCCTTTTATTTCTATCACTGTTTTACTGCTTTCCGTGCAGACTTCCTGAACATCTTTCATTAGATTTATTTTTGGGTAGTTGATTCTTCGATGCTTAGGATGGCTACGTATGTGTGTTAGCTTGACTGGGTTAAGGGCTACACAAATGACCAGAAAACCATTATTTCTGTGTCTTGAAGGTGTTTCTGCAAGAGATTAGCATTTGAAACTCTACACTGAACAAAGCTCACCTCACCCACGTAGGAGGGAATGCTTCCATCCACTGGGAGCCCAAACACATCAGAAAGGAGAGGGAGGGTGAACTACTCCTTCACCAGCACCTGTGGGTTCGGACCTTGGTACTGCAGGCTCTTGATTCAAGCTTGAACAATACCACTTGGCTTCATAGGGCTCCCTGTTGGCAGATGGTGGACTGCAGAATCCATCAACCTCCATAAGTGCACAAGCCAATCCCCCCAGTAAATCTCTCTGTATGTATCCTCTGTGTCCTAATTCTTTGGGGAATCCTGTCCAATCTAGTGTTATCAAAGCGTTTTTCTGATATTTGTTGTTTCTAGAAATATTTAAATAAGTTTTACATATTGTCCTAACATAACAAATTGCCAAATTGACTTATGAATGTGTAGATTTTTAAAAATACAACTGATGGGGGCGGGAGAAATGGCCCAGCGGTTAAGAATACCTACTATTCTTGCAGAAGATCCGGGTTCGAATCCCAGCACCAACATGGCAGCTAACAACTGTCTGTATAACTTCAGGAGATCCAATGCCTCCTGTCGTCCACAGGCACTGTATGACATGGGTGTACTTACACACATATAGGCAATACACTCATACATATAAAATTTTTTTAATTATTTAATAACCACATACTTAGAAGAAGCCAGTCCCAGGGGATCCGACAGCCTCTTCTGTCCTCCGCGGGCATTGCACGACATGGGTGCACTTACCTACATGCAGGTGTAACACTCATACACATAAAATAAAAATAATGAAATATAAAAAAATATAACTGACAATTACTTAAATGATAGCACGAACATTAATTATACTTTCTTTTTTGTTATTTTAATATATTTTATTTCCTTCTCTTGACATATCCCTCTAGTCAAGACTTGTGCAGTCGACATCTGAAGCCAGGTTGGCAGTTACTCTTGTTCTGTTCTGCACCTCAGGGGTAGGTGTAAGATTAGCTGTGAGGGTCTATGAATACCCTAAACCAGATTAAGGAATTTTCTAGTTTACTGACAATTTTGATGAAGAATGGCAATTAATTTTATCAAAATTTTTTCTGGCTCTATTTACATAAGGGGTCTACAAAATTTAGTCTTCAATAAAGTTTTGTTGAAACACAATATATATCCCTTTATTTTCTATAGGTCCTTTCTTACTAAAATGTCCCTAGAAGAGTTGTGGCAAAAACCCCGGGGCTCATAGAGGTGAAAATTTTTCCTGCTGCTTGACTTTGAGGTCCTTTCCCTTCTAGTTTATAAATATTACACCGATTTTTGTTAGTTTATCAACTTTGTACTCCAAAAAAAGGCTTCACTTAGTCATAAATTTTTTTTATGTATCTCTAATTGCAAGTTTTTCAGCAAGTAAATATTGCCCAGATTTATGGCCTATAACATCTTGACAAATGTACAGATTAAGCGAGGTCTAAATCAAACCACTGCATTTGCAAGTTTTACGATCATGGTATGTTGGCCTTATTAAATGCATTGGAAAATGTTTTATGGAAATCTACCGAGGCCAGGGTTTATTCTTTTGAAAAATTATGTGTTCCTGTAGGTGTCTATGTGCATTTGCATACAGGTGCCCATGAAGGGCCAGAAGAGGGTGCTGGGTCTCTTGGAGCTGGAGTTATAGGTGGTTGAGTCTCCTGACCTGAGTGCTGGGAACCAAACTCAGGTCCTCTGCAAGATGCCCAAGATTGTTTGTGATACTTCCTAATGATTTCTATGCACTGAAGATGTGTGATGACATCTCTTACATGCTTCCTATCATGAAACATTGCTTGACCTATTGTGAAGCTTGTTAAGGGCACATATGTTAAATTTCAAGTCTTTCTCAAGTGACTGAAAACCCTATGCAAAGATCTCTGAACAACTTCTGGCTTTGGGTTTCCTTTTTATGTGACCTAGACCCAATTTCTTTTGGTTTGTATGGTATAACCTTTTGTGATTTTCAAACTTCCTATTAAAATGGCTTCTAAACCCTGTTGATAGGAGTGCTTAACAATCTTTCTCTTGAATTACTTTTTATATTTCATATACTGAACACTAAGCCAGGTGTGGAACTAGGGAGGCTGAGGCAGGAGCATAGCTTAGTTTAGGGTCCCTTCTCCTTAACCGCCATTACCGCAGCCATAGTTAGCCCCTCGAATACAAAGCAGAAAGGCAGAGCTTGTGCTGGCTTTCACCAGTCAACGAGCAGAGGCAGAAACAAACTTCAAGCTGCAGCTAACTCAGTCTGTGCTGAGACTGAGATCAACAGGATAGAAAAGGCCAGGCAGTAAGGCCAGTGATGCCTGACAGCATACACCACTCTCAGTCCTTGCCTACACAGCTCTCAGTGATGTCTGACAGCACAGACCACTCTCAGTCCTTGTCTACACAGCTCTCAGACTTTATCCAACAAGCCCCGGGGATATGCTGAGGGCTGGTGTCTAACATGGCAGTAGGCCCACCGGATTAGAGGGTGATTCATGCACAGAATCAACCCTCAACCCCAGAAAGGCCATATGCTGGAACAGACTTTACGCATGTGGGGCCGGATCATCTAGAGACAGCACTGGACTCTCACTAAGCTTACATAACAAGTTGCTGAAAGTTTTATTCTTATGGCTCATGGAGTTTTGTTCAATAAATATCTCTGTGTGGTTGCATTTCAATTGAAATGCATTTTACTATCACCAGCTGGTAAGGCTGTGGGGAGGAGCTGGTGATGGTGAAACCCAGGTAGAAACTGTCACCTAATAGGACCCAGAATAACCTGGACATCCTGTGCAAACTGTCTGGATCAGCACCCAATGCCAACTACGGTGAACTGTTTCTCAGTTTGCCCTATGTATTAATCTGCCTGGACCACGCATTTGGAGCCCATATGGGCAGGTGGACACAATCTTACTTGGCTGATGTGTCAAAGCACACATGCCATTAGGTAGTTAAGAGTGTTTCGTTGGTGTACGTGCCGAGCTCCTATTATTTACACAAAATGTGCAGTACTGAAAACAGAACACATCAGAGAGAAAACAAGACGCCAGAAAGCCTCATCACATCTTGAGACTTTTATTTCTTCTTCAGATCTTTCTTTCTCAAAATGACTTTGACAGGTAGAGATTTGTTTTTTAACTGTCAAACTATTCAATGAGACACTATACTAGATTTAGTAGAAAGGTTTATTGTACCTGTGATGGCTTACGCTGACTGTCACCTTGACAGGACCCAGAATCACCTGGAGACACATTTCTGGCATGTCTGAGGGGCTATCTACATTAGGTTAACTAAAGGGCCGGGGTCCTGGACTGCATCAAGAGGAAGCCAGCTGAGCACTCCTCCCCACCCCACCACCTGACTGGGATGTCACATGACAAGCTGCTTCCAGCTCCTGCAGCCATGGCTTCCCCACCATGACCACTGTGCACTGAGCTCTGAGCCACAGCATACCAGGCTTTGTCAGGTCAGGTGTCAGCCGCAAGCAGCAAACGCAGAGCCCTCTACCCACTTTTCTACCTTCCCAACTTTCAAGAGAGAACTTGTACCTGAAATCTGACTCAGTGAAGTCAGTATTTTATAGCTACGATCAATTTGCCTGCTACCACCGAAGTCAAATAAATTATTTGAGAAAACTTAAAAAAAATACATCAACAGGCCAGGCATGGTGGCGCACACCTTTAATCCCAGCACTCAGGAGGCCAGAGGCAGGCGGATGTCTGTGAGTTCAAGTCCAGCCTGCTCTACACAGTGAGTTCCAGGACAGCTAGGGCCACAGGGAGACCCTGTCTCAAAAAGACCAAAAAAATAAATAAATAAAATCAATGGGCGCAGAAATGAAAATCTTTGAGGAAAAACACTGGAACATGACTAAAACATATACATGATGTCTTCTGTAAACTGAGTAAACTGTGATATTAAAAATATTTGTGATAAAAATAGAGTAGAATTTCAAAATACATTTCTAGTAGCACAAAATCCTTATAAAGATTACCTTACAATGACAATATACCAGAAATATAACTGATAATAAATCGCATTGAATCTTACATGAACATGCAAAAATTATGCTTTACATGTATAATTTAAATATATCCATATGAATATTCTGAGTGTACATCACAGAAAGATAAGTTACTTTTACAGATTTTCCATGATGTGCAAGGACACGGGTAAGCAGCAGTGATTGCCCTGTCCCCCTGGGGAGCCTGTCCTCCTAGGGAGCCCACAGTGCTGGATGAGGGCTGCAGACAGGGATGGGGTAGGTCAGAGGCATGTGAAATGGCACCAGGAGGTTTGCTATGCTGTTCCCTGCCCAACCGCTCTCAAGAGATGTTTTAAAAAAATTTATCATCCTTTCAGTAAAACTGTCTTTTAGTATTTGGTTTTATGACCAAATATCCTGCAGATAGCGTCGTTCCTGTTTTAGAGAAGCCAGCGTTTTCATTGCTTCCAGTCTGTCAACTCCAGCCTCTCTGCTCATGATTTCCACCAGGGTGTCATTCACATCCCTGGCCATATTCTTGGCATCTCTAGAAAACAAAACAGCAAACTTCACGAAACAGGAATGTTTTGACCAAACCTGCCTTGCTTTGCACACCTGGCTCCCCTGACCTGCCATCTTCGTTTTCTCAGAACACTTCCCACAGGCTTCCCGCCTCACTTCACCCACTGTGACCATTTCCAGACACAGCTGACACATGGTTCCGTGGCTCAAACCCTCCCTAGGCCCCAACATCCCGAGAGCAGCCTGCAGCCTGGCCACACGAGAAGGCTCTGCTCCAGCTTCTCGCCTGGCCCTTCCCTTTCCCTGGCAGCACACAGGACCTGTGCCCTCACAGTCCTGAGCCTTCGTGTACACACCGTGACAGACCCTGTCACGGAGGCCTGCATCAAGTGCTTTTCCAGGCCTTAGCTCTGGCACTGAAGGTGGGGAGACGCCTTCGCCCTCCTGTCCAGGTCCCTGAGGTTCCTCCTGTGCCAAGCACTGTCCCTCCCAGCACAGTTGTCTGTCTGAGGTCAGGAATGTATCTCACTTCTCTCTCCTGATGCTGAACAGTGCCAGAGCACTCAGCAGACACCCCAACATGCGAATGAAGGAAACTGCAGACAGGCCTGCATCCGCCTGTCCTGTCACAGTACATCCTTAAGCAGAGTCTGAGTGGCCATCTCATCTTGCTCATCACCCCCAGCCCCTCCAGAGCCTCCTTCTCCACACACTGCCCTATTGCCACAGGCTGCCACTGCATCACACCTCCAGCTCCTCTCGGCCTTTAGCTCACTAGATCCAGGCCTCCTACCTGGGAAGATCCCTTGGCTTTGCAAAGGTTCACGCCTCCCTCAGTGGCTGCCCGCTCAGTGCCCTCTGCTCCTGCCTGCCTGCTCCACTCGTCACTGCTAAGTTCATGCTGAGTTTTCTTTGTCTCTGAGCACAGGACTAATGCTCTCTAACCCCCTCTATGGATGTGAAGGCCAGTGACTGGGGTGAGCTGTCCGCAGAGAAGCACTGGGAGCTCAGACACCTGTGATACTCTCCACGCTCTCCACCAGGCACTGGACCCGGGGGGGGGGGGATTAACTTATGTACATGTGTGTGTGACACCTGAGCCTGAATTCTACACGGACGGCTCTGCCCTCTATGAACACAAACATCCAAAACTTCAACAAAAGCTGAATGGTACCATAAACCAACAGGATGCACAGTGATGTTTAACCTATTAATGAGTCGTGAAAGAACTTGGCAGCCAACCCAGCTTTAAATAACAAAGCGAGAGGGCAAAAGTAGAGCGCCCTGTCCACGGGAAATAGGAGAATCGCTAGCTGTGTCCAGCCTCACCTCCTGCACCATGTTAAACACAGAGCGTGTGTAGCTGACTGAGCATGGCAAACAAGTGCGTGTTAGGAGGAAAGTAAAATGTTTTCTTTCTCCCAAAAATTCCTTTCATGCAGCTGAAATTTTTATAGGCACGTCTCTAAAGATTTTCTTTCCTGCACGACACTCTGGGTTTCTGTGACAAACTACCACAGAAAGTAGATAAAAAGTAGTCACACAACAATGACTCAGGTCTTATGCCAACCTGACACCTTAAATTCTGCCTTGGAGAAAAAGGACTATGTTCTCAGGTCACACCAATACTTCCTCCCCGTTTGCTGGCTCAGTGGTGCAAATCACAAATTCTTCTACACAGTAAAATCTCTCCTGACAGCTCCACGTAAGTGACTAAGGTCTCAACATGAAGTTTCAGATGCGGGAACAAAGCACTCCCCAATGCTGGATCGACACTCACCACTGCTAATGACATCTCGGTTACTAAATGTGCTGAAACTATCCTAGAACTGGTCTATGTATGATGTATGTGAAGACCCAATGCCTGCCATTCAGACTACTGGTCCCTCAGTCTGCTGCTTCCTTTACAGCACACAGGGCTCGGTCCTGTCCCGCCACATACCCACACACGTAGATGGAGCCGTTCTCCTGAAGGAGGATCCTGCACACCTGCTGGCTGTGAAGCCGGAGGTTGTCCTGCACATACTTTGCTGGGGCCTCTTCCTCCCCCTGAGGGATGTCTCTGGAGAAGGAGACCTTCAGGTGAGTCAGGATCCCATGCTTGAGGAACCGTTTGAGCTCTTCTCTGTAACATAACAGGTCATGGTCACGGGGAGGAGGTGGAGTAGTGATGGCAAAGCCTGGATATTCTAAGGGTCCACTCACTGCTGAGTATCACAGAAGAGTTCTCTACCTGAACAAATAGTCTCTGTCCTTGTGTCTGCAGCCAAAAAACAGCCACATTGCTCCAAAATTTCCATGCGGGTGTTGTTCTTGAAGTTTCTCTCTAAGATATAAAGGAAATTTAGACACCTGGTACAAGGATCACACAATATATCTCTTTTATCAGGAAGTATCAACAACAGGGCTATAAAATCCATCTCTGCAACTGTTCGAAGTTCCATCACTCGGAATGTCAACACTGGCTAGTGGGAGGTTCTGATTTTCCGCCACCGATGCGGGATCTTGCTCACACCACTTAACCACGGAACCACGCTCCAGCCTGGTCAGGACACTCCCTGTCTCTGTTCATATGCTGCAGGCTTGCTCCCCGGGAGGGCTCCAGGGCGGGGTGGGACCTTTAAGAGGTGGAGCTTATTGGACAGTCTTTAGGTCACTGAGTATGGTGCCCAAAGGAGATCACAGAACCCCGGCCCCTTCCTCTTCCTCTCTGGGTCCTGGCCATGAGGCGACTGATTTGCTTCACCACACATTCCAGCAGGGTTGTCTTAGCATAAGGCCAAAGCAAAGCAGCCAATGGACCGTGGAATATGAGCAAAGAACCCTTTTCTCTCTCTAAGGGGATCATCTTGGGTATTTCACTACCACTGGACAGGCTACTATGGTCACCATCTGAACACCTGATAAGCCGGATTCATTTGTTTTATACCAGATAACTCTTTTCTGATACTGTTCTACCTAGTAATATTATTTTCTGAAATTATGTCTGGATTAGCTGAGCCTTTTAGTGCAACGGGAACTCGGTCCAGCAGAAGAACAGGGAGACGGCGGCATCCCCTCACTGCAAGGTGTGCACAAGTCATCGCGGGAGGCCCCCGGTGGGGGGGGCTGGGCGAGGAGGAGGCGCCTGGAACTGCTGCCCGCTGTGCCCTCAGTGGCGAGGCGCTTCACAGCCTGCACTTGGCAGTAACCATTTCAAGTAAAAATTTAACACCTGACATCCAATTATTCTACAAACTACAGAACTGAAACGGACGGCTGTACTTGCACCTGGGCTGAAAGGAGGTTGTTTCCCCACCGGCCAAGGCTAACGCACCTGTGCTGAAGGAAGCCGAGGAAGGGCGCCACGCCCGTTCCTGGCCCCACCATTATGATGGGGACCGAAGGGTCATCTGGTAAGCGGAAAGAATTTGTTGCTCGAGGAGAGATGGAGATCTGGAACACAGAAGCGGCTGGTGAGTTCCACATAACACTTAGATAAGCACACAAAAGCGCACACCCAGACTCCAGTGAGGACACTACACCGCGAGTTCCTAAGAAGTGCCCTAACTGGAGAGCAGCGTCAGCTCTCCCTGAAGCCACGATGCCTCCCCTGGTAGACTACTTCCTATCTGCATGGAGAAGTGTTTCTATCTGCCTCAGGCTTCATGTGAGAGCTGAAAGAGCGTGCTGCAAAGGGAGCAGGAAAGCAGCTACTGACGAAGGTCAGAAATGAGTGCCGGTGGGCAGCTGCTGGCTGCTGGAGGATGTGGGCACTGGCCGCTTTCTGTTCCCCAGTGGATGACCCCAAACCCACGAGCATATGGACAGGACTGAATGGGGATCCTAAGGGGCGCTGGAGGTGAGCAAAGGGAGAATACGATCAAGACACACTGTATTACGCATATGAAACTTCCAAGGAATACATTTTTGGTTTTCTTTTTGTTTTTTGAGATAGGGTCTCTTGTAGCCCCTGCTGGCCTGGAAGTCACTATGTAGACCAGGCTGGCCTCCATTTCACAGATCCGCCTGCCTCTGCCTCCTGAGTGCTGAGATTAAGGGCATGCACTACCACCATGCTCAACTTCAAAGAATCAATTTTTAAGAATAATTTTAAAGTGTTTTAAAATGACACAGTGAGAAGACACACTACTTGAGACAACACTATAAATGTCACCCTGGGCTTATCATGACCCTCTGTAGGCTCATCTACCAAGGCACAGTACAGAAAAGATATTTTTTTTGTACAAATAGGACAGACTGATGAATTTTTGCGATTTTAAAATTCAAGTGCAGTGTTTCTAAAATACTCATACTGCTAACAAGGCTCAAACCGCATGCTGCTTGGTACCCTGGGAGCCAGGTCCACTCCGCTGTCTCCACAAGGGGCTTCCAAGTCTGGCTGAAGAAGTGGGGCAGCCAGTGAGGCTAGCCAGCCCGTGCACACGCCCTTCCGCAGGACCGAGGGAAACTCCACCACGTTGAAAACGAAATGAAGCTTGTCTGGATGAAATAAACTTGAGCTGCAAAGACACACAGGTAAGACTGGGACCTACCTCAGGACTAATACACGGGGTGAACCGATGTTTTCTTACTGAGCTGGGGGAGCAGGTTCTTGCCTCTCCTCTGAGAGAAGAGCAATCTTACTTAACCCCTGCTCTCCCTCTAGTGAGATCGTCTGGCAAGTTTCCAGGTTCATTTGTCTTCCACACTAGACAAGATGCCCTGAAGCTCTTCCTTCACAACTCACCCACCCTGTATTTATAGACACGCTACTACGTAAATGACAAGACAAATCCCAACAAACATCACAGGTATTAAGTTGATAAAATTTGACAGCTGTGAAAATAGCTGAAAATTCAGAGCCATCTTCAAGAGCTACCTGGACAACACCCCAACATGTGTTGTTTTACACGCTGAACAATGTAAGCAATCCAGGGTGAACTCACTCTCCAGCACAGCGGCCTGTCCCACCAGCACAAAGGACGGCAAAGCAGCCGGGAGCAGCAGAGGCTGCGTGACCCACAGCTGACCTCCTTGGCTTCACTCACTGCTTGTTCCACAGTCCAGCTCCTTGGCTCTCTCCCTTCCCGCCCTCGGCTGCGCAGGGAAAGAGAAGGACTTGAGCCCACCACCTTAAATGGGAATGGCTAGATGGCGGGGGCTGCTCAAGTCTTAGACTGAACTCCGCAAGTCCTATGGCTGGTTGCATCTCAGCACGCCTAGCGCTCTCCTCCACAGAGCAGTAAGCTCCCATCAAATGGTCAGCCACTAAGGACATGAAAGTTTGGGTTTCACAAGATTTTAAAGAAAAGATGCTACACATATATCAATCAATACTAATATTAATACCTTGCACATGAATATGGTCTTGGTTGGAGCTTAGGAAGATGTTCTGAAAATAAAAAAAGCAATTTTTAATTTGCTCCTATTGAAAAGGGGGAAAAATAGAAAAATTTAAGAAGATTTTAAGAAAATCAAGGCCTATGTTTAATTCCTGTTTACTTATTTACAATATTCATAATAACTTTTATGTGCACAGGTAACCATCTAAGGAGGAGAGTATAGAGTGTTCGGATGAAATAAAGTCAAGGCCTCAAAAGCATTAAAGACTAGTACAGGAAACAATGAGGACCATAAAACACTTTTCCTTCTTTCATTTAAATAACTAATTAAAACGTGTGTATGGTAGCAGACTTCCTTAAGGCAAATTATTCAGAAACCCAGTTTTGGGGGGCTGGAGAGATGATGCCTCAGCAGTTAAGAGTGCTGACTACTTTTGCACAGGACCCAGGTTCAGTTCCCAGCACCCACATCGCAGCTAACAATTGTTTCAGGGGATCCAATCCCCATCTTCTACACAGTACATGTGACCCCGCACAGGCCTGCATGGAAGTCCGTCTGCGTTCTGAACAGCACATACTTCATCCAGTCACAGCAGATACTGATTGGCTCTGATAAAGTTCTTTTCCTCTGAATATTCACTGTTAGATAAAATTTTAGCTAAATGACCTCATGAAAGAAAATAAAATAGAAAAGATGCCAAATCCTAAATTAAAAAAAAAAAATCACAATTGGCTTTGTTAACGGAGAAAATGATAGTGACATTGATAGAAGGGAAAAAATGAGGAAACTGGGTTTGGAAGACGACGGCTCTGGCTTCCAAAAGGCAGCTCAGATATCACTGTAACCTGAGACAGACACAGGACAGGCTACTAGCCAACACCACTCACTTAGGTGCACCGTCACTACATCTGTTGGACTTGGAGCAGAAGCTTCCTTCCTGAAGAGTCTCACTAGCTGCATGAAGGACCAAGGTGTCTGAAATGGACTACTCACGGAGCAGCAGGCTGAGTGGTGGCTGACAGGACGGGAAGGCGAAAAGCAGGTCCAGCAGGCAGGCACCGGCGTCGCGGATGAATCGGTTGTAATCAGCTGCCCCTTGCTTACTGCACAGCTCCTGCAGCCTCCGCCTCTCTGCAGCATCGCTGGTACAGTCCACGAGCGCTCGCAAAAACGCCTGCAAAAAGGAGGCCAATGATCACCTGCTGTGTGGTCAGCAGTGTTAAGAGCAGTCAGCCAGGGGCCTCCCAGGCAGAGCGCACTAGCTGAGCACTTGCCCAGTAATTGGGAGTGCTAGGCTCAGTACCACACTGCAAAGAAAAAACAAAGCCAAACAAAACAAGTGCACAGTGTATTCAGCTACAGTCTGCTGCCTGTAACCACAAAGGGAAAGGGCGGAGCCGTTGGGGTGTCACAGGAAAACGGAGCTCTATTTACCTTTTGATTAGAGTTGGCTGCCAAAAGAAACTTCATTTTTCCGTCCTGTGCTTGTTCACTTTCTCTTCACCCTCCACAGCCTAGTCCATCCATCCCAGGCATGGTCTCCAGCTACACACCTGCTGTACTAGTATGATCTCATAATCTCCTAGCCCAGGATTTTATCTCAAGGTTGGGGATATAGCTCAGTTGGTAGAATGCTTGCACAAAGCACACACAGGACTAAGGGGCTACCAGATAGATCCAAGGCTTCCCAGGGAGCAGGCCGAGCTGAAGACGGCCACGTGAAAGCAGGAAAGGTAAGACGTGTAGGTAAGCACTGGGAGACCTCAGGGGACGCCTATGTTTGCATGGATCAGTGAGACAGCTCACCATTAACAATCCGCCAATAACCACTTCTAATTATAGGAGAAAACAGTGATTCTACATCTTTAAAAATAAGTTTTATTTTGGAACCGCAGAAAACTTTCTACTTTTGGGAACTGCAGAAACTCTAAAATCCTAAAATAGAAAACACTGCACTGCTCTAGGAGAAAAAGCTTCAATGGCAAACAAATCCTGCAGTACTTTAAAGTGTAAATTGTTGGGCTGAGAGATGGCCCAGCAGTTAAAAACACTGGCTGCTCTTATAGAGGATTGAGTTTCGATTCCCAATACCCCATGGCAGCTAACAACCACCTGTAACTCCAGTTCCAGAGGAGCCAACGCCCTCTTCTGACCTCCGCGGGCACTGCATGACATACACACACTTACATACACAGACAATACATTCATATAAATAAAAAATAAATTTAAAAAATTTAAAGCAAATTGTTTAAAATACCAATTCTAGGGGGTGGAGAGGTGGTTCAGGGATTAGGAGCTAGCTGCTCTTGCAGAGGACCCGGGTTCGATTCCTAGCACCTGCCTATAACTTCAGTTCCAGGGAATCTAACGCCCTCTTTTGGCCTCTGTGGGTACTGCATGACATGTACACACATTTAGGCAAAATACTTAATACACATAATATGAAAACAGGCAGGCGTGGTAATGCACGCCTTTAATCCCAGCACTCAGGAGGCAGAGGCAGGCGGATCTCTGTGAGTTCAAGGCCAGCCTGGTCTACGTAGTGAGTTCCAGGACAGCTGGGGGTACAGGGAGACCCTGTCTCAAAAAGACCAAAAAATAAATAAAACGTAGTCCCACCACTTGGGAGGCAGAGGCAGGCGGATCTCTGAATAGTTTTCAAATGGAAACTAGTCAGGACAGCTGGGGGTACAGGGAGACCCTGTCTCAAAAAGACCAAAAAATAAATAAAAATAAAATAAAACAAAAATTTTAAATACCAATTCTACTCTAAGGATGAATCTATTTCACAAAAGTATGGCAAACAAGTATGTAAAGATCTAACACAGTGCAAGAATGTCAGTCTAGACACTTTTTCCATATAAAATGTAGGAACAATCCAGACGTCTATGATCAAATCAACAAATTGTGGTGCATCCATTAAAAGTACCTTAAATCTTTTCATTGAAATATGCAGACTTGATTTTTTTTCAAATTAAAAAGACAAGTTATGGAATAGCACCTAATAGTACTAAATTCCATAATTACACTGAGGGTTTGATTATAAAAGATACCCATTTCTTATGTTACATCCACCCTCACAGTTCTTACAATCAGCATATTATTTTTGTTAGTGGGGAAAATATATATAATTTGCAGAACTTAAGAAAGTTAAACCAAAACAATTTATTAAACTTAATCAAAAGTTCTGTGTATAGGACTTGGCCTTTCTCTGCAGTGGTCTGCTTCCCAAAGACACATTAAAACAGCAGGCCACAAACAGCGGTGGGGAGAGGATGAGCCAAGGCAGCACTCCACCCACCCACACAGGAGCTCGCCTAGCCAAGCAGCTTAGGAAGCTCTACAGAGTCCATAAGGGCAATGCTGGGAAAATTCGGCTGCAAGTGTTTTACAAATGCAGTTCCTGACCCAGCGCTGACCTCTAGTGGAGCACTGTACCTAGGCACTCAGCTAACCCTGCAACCTGTCCAAACCCTCTACTTCCTCAAGGATCCTTCCCACCCAGGAGGAACTATGCAGCACCGCAGAAGAGAGCTCCAGTGACACAGGAGGTGGTGGACGGAGGACGAAGACCCTGAACTTGCATAAGTAAGCTTCCATCACCAGAGAAAGGAAAAGCGATGGAGCGGGTGCATCCCTGCTTACTGAACTGGGGAGTTAATGCCGGGTGAAAACAAGACGAAGAAAATACTTCTACAGCAGTTATAAAGATGCACTCTGAATACTGTATTTTCTAAGCCTCCAAAGGGGCAGGAACCAGGCTTATTTAATAACTCCTATACACAGTTCTGAACAGTTTAAGTTACTCACAGGAGACAGAAAAAAATACCTTTTTAGGAAGTGCTCGTATTTCAAGACACCAGGTGAGAAGGAACTGGAGAGAACATCCGTCGGGCACATGCTGGGGTAAGGTGGCGCCTTCTCAGGGAAAGCAGGGAGGAGGGTTGGAACAAAGAACAATACATTTTCAGAATGTTCTGTAGTGACCAAAACAGTCAGTGGTACACTTGACATTACAATACCATCAAAGCACAATGATTTGTGGCAATACTTCATCAGAAAATCAACCTAAACGATCCCCAAAATAAATATACCAGGAAAAAAGTCACCTTATGAAAAATAAAAGCTGTACCAGGCATAAAAAGCACAATCATCTAAAATTAAACACCACGATGGCAAAAGATGTCAGCGTTCCGTTAAAATTAAAGAGAACTTCAGAGACTAGAGAGATGGCTCAGCAGTTAAGCAAGCTCTCTGCTCTTCCTGAGGACCGGAGGACCTGGATGCCTGCATCCTTACTAGGTGGCTCACAACTGCCTATATCTCTAGCTCCAGGGGATCTGACGCTCTCTTCTGGCTTCCGAGGGCACCTACACACCATGTGGCATATACGCACAAAGATACACACACAGTCCCATAAATAATACTAAAAATTTATCTTAAAAACTTTAGGGCTGGGCACGATGGTGCACGCTTTTAATCCCAGCATGCAGGAGGCAGACGTAGGCAGATCTCTGTGAGATGGAGGCCAGCCTAGTCTACATTTTTAGTTTCAGGCCAGTTGGGGCTACAGCTGTCTCCTTGAGCAACAGTAAAGAGCGGTTTTCTCCAATACAGATGTCCTCTACTGAGAAATTCAAGTCGCCAAATAACTGTTCCCTCTGTTTCCTGCACAAAGCCAAAATGCTTTCTTAAACACAAGTATAATCATGTGGACAGAGCCTTAAAGACAGGAAAACAGTAGGAATCAACATCATTGAAATTATGAGCCTGGAGCTGGGGTCCCCAACCACGAGCCACAGTTCCACACTCCTCTGGTGGAGCAGAGTAGAGGATGGAGGACTTCCTGATGTTGGGCTGTAGTTTCAGCTTCTCTGAGTGGCCAGACTGCCCACATCCCCCTCCTGAGAGCCCAGGTTGTATATGGCAGTGGCTCTGCCTCTGCATTGGGCTTATGCTGGGGACAGGGGAAGTTTCTAGTCTTGGGAGGACTGATTCTCAAGAATGGACTTCCCTCAATGGCTGGCTGTGGTCTGGACTTCACACATGGTCCTGGGCACCCAGGCCTTGACACTGGACCCTTTCCATTCCCAGGCACCAAGAGGTTTTCCATCATTTTTCTATGACTCTCTCACAGTCAGAGTGACCCTTCCCCTGTGCCCTTCAGAAAATGTAAATCACCGAACTGAACTTCTAGATAAAAATCAGCCTCGGAAGTTAAAAAAGTTCAGACAAAAAACTTTTAGACTGAACCCAAGTTCAAGATTATAGGCAAACAATATTAACAGTTTAAAAAACTAAACAGCTTCCAGGTGTGGCAGAATCCCAGCACTCAGGAGGCAGAGGCAGACAGATCTCTATGAGTTCTTCAAGGCCAGCCTGGTCTACATAGTGAATTCCAAGTCAGCTGGGGCTACAGGGAGACCCTGTCTCAAAAACACCAAAAACACCAATAAATAAACAAATAAACAAACAACTTCCTTTAATTATAGAAAAATAATCGTTTTTACATAGTAAAGAAGATATGGTATGAGAAGCAAGCATATCAGGATCTTCTAAAAGGTCCTGAGTGCCTGCTCCGAGGACTACAGCTACTCCCTTTCCATGTCCACAATGTCCAACTGGCATGAGCTCTTCCACATGCTGCCAAGCAGAGCTAAGAAAAGCATTGAGAAACTGCTATCAGCCTTGCCGCCTGTGGCTGTGCACGCACATGTGTTGTCCTATGGCTGGGACACAGCAGCTGTGCATCCAGCACTCAGGAAGCTGGGGGCAGCCAGCACTGTCCTACCTTTCTTCTTCGTGTCCGCCCTGACTTTCACGGTGACGCGGCATTCCTGCTTATCAGCAAGCTGCAGCCTTTGCAGCAGGTTCTGTACCTCAGAAGCACTGTTTGGACAGATCACACTGAAGGAATCTCCAGGCTGATAGGAAAACTCAATTTTCTAGAGAAGAACCAAAGCAAAAGGAAAAAATACCTGTGTGAGTTAAAAAGTTCAAGTTGTAAAGTAACAAAGTAGGGTTTTCATTAGAACCATCTTGGCAAAGGAAATCAAAAGAAACTAATTCTAACTGAAAAACAGAACCTAATGAATAACAAGCCCAATTATCTGAATGAACACACCTTTATTAGAAATTATTCTAAAAGACATTAGAGGCTGGGCACGGGAGCACATGCCTTTGCTCCCAACATTCAGGCGATAGAGGCAGGTGGATCACTGAATTTGAAGCCAGCCCAATCTACACAGTGAGTTCCAGGCCAGTCAACGTTATATAGTAAAACCCTGTCTTTTAAAAAAAAATGCGTGCCATACACACGGATACATGAAAAATTAAATAAAAACACTTCTTAATTGATGTTTTATCTCTTATTACTAACTATTCACAGGATTCAAGTGAGTCCTTCCTCACCATCTATAGAGTAAGGAACCTTGTTAATAATCAATGAAAAATTCCTCCTATAAGAATGCATTAAACACACATGCATTAAACATATCATGACCAGAAAAGGCTCATCAAGGCCATCTACACGGGTTTCTGAAGTCCTTCCCTTATTCGGATCCTTTCTCTTGAGGAGGGGCAATGTAGGAGGAGATGAGATGCTCTCACACCCTGAGAGGAGACGACTAGACTTATCAGGAAAATGTGGAACATCAGAAGAAAACTCAGCACGTTCTAGTGTGCAAGGTACAAACGATGATGCGGAATGCTACCAAAGTGATGTGTGCGCTCCACCAGGACTGACATAGAAACGCCAGCTCACATGCCTGTCAGGTCTTTATTCTCTCAGAAAGCTCAGCTGAAGCTTTGCACAACTCAAGTGCTCTGATTTTTCTGAAGACAAAACCCACTGACAATCTCCAGCCTCCTGTGGGAGCTCCAGGATCTCAGGCAGTGCTACCCGGGCCCAAAATCCGGCAGGGGGAGCAAGTGAAGGGGCCGGCAGATGGAGCTGAAATGACGCTACCACCCTGGAACCGCAGGTAAACATATGATCACTTTTCTGGAGAGAGAATCCATAATGCTTTCCAGATTCTCCAAGAACTCCGAACTCTGCTCTGAGAAGCTAGCCCTCCCTGACAGTCTAGTCTGGGCTTTGTGTCTGCCTGGCTGGCCGACCTGAGGGCCGCACTTCCTCCTGTGGGCCTCCTGAAGGTAAAAAGCTGGTCAGAGCCCATTGCTCCTCCAGCCCCTCCTCGCTTACCTCTTCCCTGAAGGGGGAAGGAAAGGAAAGAGGTGTGCAGTGAGGAAAAGCACGATGGGCCAAGACTAACCAGCCAGGTGTCCGGAGACCTCTCTGGATGCAGTGTCTGAGCACCACACGGGCCCTGCCCGTCTTTACCCCGTGACTCTTCTGAGAATTAAGTGCGGTAACTCACAGAAATGTCCAGCTCTAGCAGGAGAGTGATTTTGACGGCATCACTTGCAGTAAGCCGAACTGCTTTTGAAATTGGAACTTGAAAAACTGAATCCACTGAGGCCACAGATGCTTGGCTTTCCTCCTTGAGAAACAATGGAATAAAGTACAATGAAATGCAATTTTCAGGCTGGGAAGCTGGCTGTCAGCAACATGCAAGCACAAAACCCAGTGTTCCACCTCAGAACCCAGGTTACAAACAACTACAGAACATTTGTAACCCCAGCACCTATGGGGCGGATGGAAGGCAGAGCCAAGCAGATCCCTGGGGCTTGCTGGCCAGGCAGCCTAGACTACACGGCAGGTAAGCCTAATGTAGGACAGGTATTCTTTCTTTCCTTTAAGTTTTGAAACAGGATCTCCCTGTAGCCACAGCTGGCCTGGAACTTGCTATGTGCTATGTGGACCAGGCTAGCCTCCATCTCAGAGACACGCCTGCCTCTGCCTTCCCAGTGCTGGGCTTAAAAGTGTGTGCCACTGTGCCCAAGAGGAAGGGTATTCTTAATTTTAGTTACTGCTAACTAATTTAGTCCTACAGAGGTACTTCTGTAGCCTAGGGGAGAGAATAGATCTTAGGAATCAACAAAGAAAACTAATTCTTAGTACTATCTTCCAATTCCTTTTCTAAGTTGATTTTATTAAGTTTAAAAATAGAAAATGGCTGGAGGGATGGCTCACGGGTTAAGGGCAAATACTGCTCTTCCAGAGGACCTGAGTTCAGTTCTCAGCACCCATATCAGGCTGCTTACAGCCACCTTTAACTCTAGTTCTAGGCACTCTGCTTCATTCTTCAGGACTCTGAGGGCACCCACACTCGTGCACATACCCACATACAGACATACACATATGCACAATTTTTTTTAAAAAATAATAAAAGTAAATCTTAAAAAATAGAAAACATCATAACAAATGACACCAGTCACCTCTGTCTCCATGGACGGCTGGGAGGAGGTCCGGGCTGGACACCTGGAGCCTCAGTATGTGACCCAGGGCTGCAGTCAGCAAAGGAGCTGCATGCATCAGGCATGGGGCTCTCAGCCAGCTGTCCCGTGAGCACCCCTACAGCGTCAAAGTGTCCACCCTGCCTTAGCCACTTCTGCCAGAATCAGCCAAGTCCAGTGCCTAAACAGTGATGATGAGAAACCAGCCCCTTGTCCCAATGCAGGCCAACTATTAAGAGCTGCTCAGTCAGTGCGAGGAAACCCTGTGGGAGGTGAAGGCCTTGCAGAGCTGCACCACAGTGTGGCCTCTCCTCATGCCCAGTCCCGCTTCCGTTCCTCCAGTCCCACACAACAATGCCGAGATCATCCGACTCCTGGGACTCAGCGACAGTCAGTGCTGAGCCGTCTGAGAAAGAAGCTAAACGGGAGTTTGGAGCTGGACACCATCTGGATGACAAGACCGTCCATACTGATGACAGACGGAAGCCAGAAACACAGCACAAGGCAGCAGTGCATCAGACGGCAAAAAGCATCAAGAGGCCAAGAACCACATGGAAAGACACTGGAAAGACGAGCGGCTGAAGTGATGTCAAGTTCAACTGATAAAGAAAAGACGCAGAAAGCTAAAGGATTCCAGTGAAAGCTCCAAGTGGAGGGAAACTGAGGGAAAGACAGGTGCACGAAGAAGACTGATGTTGAATTCCACCTCTGAAAACTCAACTCAAAATGTTCAAAGACCTTAGTATAAAACCTGCAACTCTGGGCTGGAGAGTTGACTCAGTGGTTAAGCACACTGACGGCTCTTGCAGAGGACCTGGGTTCAATTCCTAGCACCCACAGGGCAACTAACAATCATCCTAACTTCAGTTCTAGGGGATCCAATACCTTCTTCTGACCTCTAAGGGCACTGCATGACACAGCAATACACTCATACTCGTTAAAAAAATAAAAAAAAATAAAAAAAAAACAAAAACCTGGAACTCTAAAACTGGCAGAGAACATAGAGAAATCACTTCAAGATACAGCAACGGCAATGACTTTGAAACAGACTCCCGAAGCTCGGGAAGCAGCAACAGGATCTAACAGATCCGAGGACATGGCTCAGGCTTTGGTCTTTTTGAGACAGGGTCTCCCTGTAGCCTTGGCTGGCCTGGAACTCACGATGTAAACCAAGCTGGCCTCAAACTCACAGAGACCTGCCTGCCTCTGCCTCCCAAGTGCTGGGACTAAAAGCATGCGCCACCACGCCACGCTACTTTATGCTTTGTATTCAAATATGAGGATCTGAGTTCCATCCCTGGCACTCACGTAAAAAAGGATACACAGGAACACACAAACACACACACACACACGACACAACACGATGACACACTGCACAGGAACCCTGTCCACACAAGCTGAGCCCATCAACATTTTGTATGGGTGGGGGGGGGTAAGGGGCTATTAGCAGTTAATGTCTACGGAGGGAGGAGTTGATTTCTTCAGTGCTGTAGCTACTGGTAAGTTGCCCATGATCCAGTAAACAACCCCACACCCATGAACAAGCAAGTAACCCTAATTACAGCCGGTGGAATAGTATGCAAGAGCAAACCTGAAAGCGGAGGGGGTCTGCGGGAGACGAACGGACCCGGGAGGAGGAGGATCTGCGGGAGAGGAAGGGACCCGGGAAGAGGAGGGGAAGGAGTTGAGAGAAGCACCTCATGTACATTTATTAAACTGTTAAGGAATGAATAAAAATGACTTTAGGACACCAGCAGCTTTTGTGTGCTCCAATAATGAGCTTGCTAAGGAAGAAATTAATGAAAGCACCCCATTCACAATAGCTCCCATAAATAAACACAGGCAAAACAATACAATGCCTACGAATAAAATCAGACAAGAGCTGAAAGCCCTCACTATAACTGAAAAACACTGAAAAGGCCCCAGAGGGACTGGGATTGGCAGATGATACTGTGAAAATGGATACGCTAGCAAAGGAGATCTACAAAATCAATGCAGTCACCATTGAAATTCCAATGACATTCTTCACAGAAATAGAAAAAACCTAAAATTCATAGGAAGCCAGAGCAATGCTGGCCGCACCATAGTCCCCATTTCAAGGCAGGCCACAGAGCCACAGAGACAAAAATACCATGGTGCTGGCCCAAGGACAGACACACAGCTCAATGGAATACAGTAAAAGACCCAGAAATAAACTCAGACAGCTGCAGCCACCTGAGTTTTGATGAAGAGGCCAGTAGGACAGAGTGCATAACCAACAGCCTCTTAGCAGATGGTACTGGAAACCCGGCTGTCCACCTTTAGATCAAACTACATCCCTAGTTCTTACTCTGCACAAAAAATGAACTGAGAACACATCAAAGACCTTGATACAGACCTGAAGCTTTGAACTGCTCAGGGAAAGCAGTTCAGGGTACAGGCACAGGCAGGAACTTTTTGAAAAGGATTCCAAGAGAAAAGGAAATAACACAAAGAAATGACAAGCAGGATCACATAAAACTAAAGAGCTTCAGCACAGCAAAGCGACAACCAGCAGAGAGGGATGACAACCAGCTAGGGATGGGAGTGGCCTTTGCCAACTAGTACCTGGCCGGGTACTGAGATCTAGAATCCCTGAAGAACTCCAAAAATTAAACAAAACATCACCCAAACAGTAAATGGGGAAGTGAACTGCATAGACAGTTTTCAAAGGCGGCAGACCAATGAGTAACGAGTACCTGAACGTGTTCATCACCTGGAGCCATAAAAGAAATGCACATTAAAACAACACTGAGATCCCTTACCCCCATCCCCATCAGAACGGCTACCACCAGGATGAAAACAACGTGGCGAGACTGCACAGTAGTAGAACCGTTATTCAAGCACCGGCTAGTCATGGCTGCTGGGACTGTCACTAGGAAAATCAGTATGCAGTTTCTCACAAACCTTCAAGTGGAGACACCATCCAGCCCAGCAATACCACCCTTGACAACACACCACGAAGACTGTAAGCCGGCAGAGACACCTGAACATTCATCTGTACTGCTGCACTGATGTCAACAGCCAAGCTACAGAACCAGCCTGGAGCCCAGCAGCAGAGAGAAATGTGGTCCGTATGCACATGGCATTTTACTCAGCTGTAAAGAAACAGGAAATCTTGGTATCTGCAGGAGAACAGTTGCAAGGGGAAATCCTAGTATTAAACAAAATAAGCCAGACACAAAGAGACACATATCACATTCTCTCTCAAACACAGAATGCTGATACAGGAGTGCGGTTGTGTGTAGACACGACAGTACAAATGGGCTCATGAGAGCTGAGGGAGTCTGGAGTGGGGGTAGGCAGTGCAATGCTGTACACATGACTTGAAAGCATGAAAGAATCAGCAAGAGGGAGAGACAGGGAAGGGCGGGGGTTAAGAAGATGGTACAATGCTGTACACATATAAAATCATCACAATGAAGACTATCCCTTCATGCCAACTAAAACCATTTTTTAAGAAGGAAAATCTGGTATATATGCACCATGGAGCACTATATAGCAATGAAGAATGAAATCATGTCACTTGGGGGAAAACAGATGTAGCTCATCCTCCTGCTGCATGCTCTCTCATTCACAGAAATCTGGATTTTCTTTAAAGGCAGGAGAGTAGAAGGGAACTGTTTCGAAATGGAAAGGGACTAGTGGAGAGAGCAGAGACGGAGGGCGGCAGGGGTGGACTTGGCCAAAGTACTGTGAAACGTGTGAAAATTCCACAGGGAGTCCCACCACTTTACACAAGCAGCACACGTTCATAACTCTTTAAGCTGAATGCCACATGCTCAGCTGCTCATCAAGTGTCCCCCATCTCCTGCAACCTGAAAGCAAAGAAAGCCAAGGGCTGTTTCAGACCAGGAAAGAACCATTTAACCAGATAGCTTTGCACCTATAGAGATGGACACACGCTTTCCACCAAGGGCAAGAATTCCTTTTCACAAAAATGAAGCAGGATCCTCTGTCCAGAGACCCATGCCCCCACTGTGCATCTCATTTCCTGCCCCAGCTGTTGTGCCCAAAACTAAAGTCACAATACCCCCAGCCCACGACAAAGGGAGTCCACCCCAAAGAAAGCAGGGCCCAGAGCAGTCCGCATGGACAAGGTCAGGAGCGCATGAACAAGACAGAACGCTGAGGTTCTGTTCTGTGGAGGCTGAGCTTCCTGAACGGCGAGCACTGGGAGACAATGTGAACCAGCTAACAACTCAGCTACTGGAAGTGAGGAGAGCGAGCGGCACCACGGAAGGCTCACTCGGATGGCGAAAAGGACTTCTGCAATGCACAACCTTCCGTAATCCACAGATGGACCAGGATTTTCTGGAAGGGTCAGATAGCAAATGCTTTCTTCTTTGCGGGCCTCTGGTGAGCAGTTCAAGGCCCAAGCAGTCAGAGACACCACAGAGACAAATGGGCACGGCTGTGTTCACTAACAGTATTTACAACAGAGGATGCTGTATCTGCCCAGGGGTCGTAGTTCTTGACCCCTGTTCTGATGTAAAAAACAAACAAAATACAAGACAAACGCTCACGAGTGAAGGGCATTTCCCAGCACAGAACACTTACCTGGCCAGGAGACGACTGAAGATGAGCCTCCAGATAGTCTGGGGGCAAAGCAGGAATGCTCAGAGAGGCCTGTGAAAGTGGAGGTGCTGAGTGGACAAGGGAGGACTCTAGGTCTGCAGTCAGATCGCCTGACTGACTCCCATTCACATCATGTTCTTCCAAAACCTCGGCATCCTTCCTTACTGGATCATCCAATCTTAGAAGCTCAACTTGTGACTCGATGTGCTCCAACTTCCCAGGATGTGCGGTCGCAGAGGCATTCGATGGCCGTGGGAGAGCCTCACTCATCTCTTCTCCGCTTGTCTGAAAGTGCTTCGTAAGAGCAGCCCAGAGCCCAGTGATCCAAGGCTCTACCACAAGTTCTAAACTAGCATGCAAGCAAAGGAAAAAAGAAACAAAGTTGACATCTGAACAGACAATGAGCTAACAGCAGTCTGCCAATTCCGCTGCCAGGTTCCTCCAAGAGAGGGCTGTGTCCAGGCTGTAGTGAACACTCACAAATACGTTCACACTTTGAGGTAAGCCTGTCTAACTATGCTGTTTCCATTAACACACACTGCAAAGAAAGAGATGGACGACAGCTAGATGGATGGACAGACAGAGACACAGACATCAGCAAAAAGCGTTAAAAAGTCAAGCTCCAGCTAACTGACAAGCCTAGGTCCTGGAGCTGAAGAGTTAAACTCTGTGACTAAGATGAATGCCAGTGCTAAAGTAAAGCCAGCAAGTTTTGTGACATCAGATACTTCCACCTTACGAAACAACAGCAGTGCATTGCTCTTACCCTACACAATCATCAGCGTGCCCAGTTTCATAGAAATGTTGGGCTCCAAGTTCTTGAAGTCGTTTATCTATTATTTTCCCTCCATTGCAGAAGTATGTGTATTCTGAGTCACCCAAACCTGGAGAATCCAAACAGACACCTAATACATACAACGCTTATAGAACAGTAAAGTCTACACACTATTCCACACCCTTACAGAGGAAGAAATGAGCACAGGTTCACACTTCCTTATTCTTGAGTAAAACCAAGTATGCAGACAACATTCTACAGTACGACACGAAATATCAGCTACAGGGGCTTTATAAACAAAACCGAGACTGCATATTAACATTTCTGAGTTGACTGATACAGAAATCTGAAGAAAAGGATCAGGATGATTTAAAAAACACAGCATCTCTATTTTCTACTTTTTTGACCCTGAATATTGGTCTGCCAACTAGAGCCTCCGAATCAAACCTGACCATGCCTGTAGATAAAGTTTCACTATAACGTGGTCACATCTGTGTTCTTACATGTTCTTGTGGTAACTGGAATCACAGCATCCACATGATGGAAGCCATGTAACCCACAAAGCCTCGAATACCTATCTGCCCCAAACAGCATTTGCCACTCCTAGACCCGCACAGCCAGGCACACCTGCAGATAACCAGAGCTGCCTGGTCCATGTCAGGTCAACCACAGGTACTCTGACTTCTCACGGGGAGAAAACTAATGCTTCACTCCTGATTTGTCAGGACTCAGGTTTGCTTTGCTCAGCAGGGAACCTACTGGCTTTGGACAGAGAGACTTGAGCAGCAACAGAGTAACAACTCTGGGACTTGGTTTCCTTCATACAATCCATTTATTACAAAATTCAGATGGTTTTTATACATCCCAAGGAACTGGCAGTCACGTGGGATATGGCAGTCACATAGAAAGATTTAGGGCACAAAGAAACAGACATATTGTCTGTTGGTTGGCACCAGAAGGATGCTTAAACTTTTATTCAAGGTTATTAATGCCCATTCGGTAATTTATTGGCTACAATGTTTCTTTCTTAGAGTTAAAAGCATGATAAACTTTTAGCTTTTAGCTCAGGAGTAAACCTTTATCCTGGGCTAATCTCTTAGCCAGGGATAGCGGAGTTATTTGCTCAGGACAAGGAGATGAGCTAGGGGTTGTTGACCAAGACGCTTTCCCACAGAGCAAGGAGCCTGCACTTTTATGACCAGGCCGCTTCCTCCTGCCAGCCTACCAGTGTTCTGCAAGCCAGGGATTGTCAGAGCTGCTGTTTTCAGCGCCCCTCCCTTTAGCAGAGAATGCAGCCTGGACTTAAGGGTTTTAGGCTCATCTCACCCTAGGGCCTGGCACCCTGGTTTCCTACACTGGTTGAAATTTCAAAACTGAAAACTTAAATTTCTCAGTTTAACTATTCCTGGGTTTTCTCCCAACAACTGTGTGGGAACTTTACAGAGCCATACATGGGCCCAACACTGGGTAGAGTAGCTGGATTAGGCTTTCATCTGTTCTGTATAAATATTTTTAAAGAAATTCTCAAAGCAGTGTTTGTTCACTCTTGAAAACACAAACATTGAAAAATCTTGAAGGAAATTATAAATGCTATATACAAATATATTTTCCTTCTTTCTTAAACATGTTTAACATACATCAGATCATGGCCAAAATTAGAGTAAAATTTCTAAGTAGCTATCTCAAAGCAGTCTATCTTTGCTAGATATTCTCCAACAGTCTTCAGAGATGAATCACAGAGAACACAAACAGGGACGATGGACCCATGCTCCCTCTGTAATATATATTTTACTCTAGTATTATTTGATATGTACGACTGTATTGCCTGCAGGTTTGTAAGTGCACCCGTATCATGCAATGTCAGTGGAGGTCAGAAGACATTGTCAGAGTCCCACAGAACTGGAGTTACAGACAGCTGTTAGCCACCATGAGTGCTGCGAATCCAACCTGGGTCCTCTGGAAGAGTAGCCAGTGCCTTAACCACTGAGCCATCTTTCCAGGCCCTGTAGTATGATATTTTGCTTCTAGCTCCTCATTTAAATTAAAAATAATTTTTTTAAACATACTGTGTGCCATGGTTCACCTTCGAAGTCAGAGGATAACTTCTGGGATCCAGTTTCCTTTTCTACAATGTGGGTACTGGAGACTGAACTCAGGTCGTTAGGCTTGGCAACACGAGCCTTCACCCACTAAGCCATCTCCCTGGTCTATACAGGTCCTTTATACTGTCTAAGCTCTGCTTTACAAAGCCTAGGCCCGTTTTCTGAGCCTGGGATACACATCACAATCACCAAGGAGCTGGTAAGTAGAGGAACTTATTACCTATGCACACCGTAGCCCCTCTGAATACCAGAGACGGGCCAAGTAGAAGACAAGGAGCTCTTAGGACTGCCCCCAGCTGGTGCTATGTGCAGCTGGGGACTGAACTCCACAATCCTGGAGGTGTGCTCTCAGGAGACACATCAGAATCAGCTTTTGTGGCTTTCTAGAAAGTTCAACTCTGAAGCATCTCAAGAGCTTGCTCCTTCAAGAAGGTGGCTTTAAGTAGGTGGGGTGAGGCCTAACCACTAATATTCTGAAAATGATCCTGGCTAAGAACACTACTGGAGAGGATCTGCAGAGTGCTGGAGTGTTGTTAAGTGTTCACCTTACTGTACTAAGCTCTGGATTTGACCCCTAGATCCCCACAAGACACAGAGGTGGGGTCCACAGAGTGTTGTTGTGGGGTGAAAACTAGAGAATTGTTTCTATACTCACAATTCATAGATATTTCATAGATACAATACGTAAAAAATACAAAGACCCATGTAATTAATCAGTTTATGACTTTGAAAGCTATACTCAGCTACTAAAGCTGAAGCTGAGTGTAGCAGAATACATTACAAGCAGAAAGTCCAGTCCAGTACCCAGCAGTCCATATCGCAGGTGGGCAAAGAAGTCAGCTGGCAGCGTCTTGTCTTGGATCTCTTTAACGAACTTGCGGGCTGTGTCAGGCGGGTCCCCTGTGCCTGTGGTGGAGACCACCACCACCAGAGGAGCAGATTCAGTTTTCAGATCATACTTAAAATAAGAATAGAGAAGTCAGGTCCAGGTGCCAGAGGGTTTGTGACCAACACTGCGGCAAGGCAAGACAATCAGCTTGGTTACCTGTCTTATGCTTCCAGTAACTGACCAGTTCAGCAAGCTACCCAGTATCTCACAGCAACCATGCCTTCAGCTGTCAGCTGCCTGCCCATACCAGGCCCTCATTTCCTTAATGTCCAAGGGCTTAGAATACTATGAGAGGTGAACTGATACCACACATTCCTACTTCTTATCAAAGTTCTTTCTTCTACTGCTCATGAACATAACCTGATTTGGGTTCAAAAAATTCACTTTTTTAAAAAATAAAGTACCATGTAACTCAAGCTGGCCTCAAATTCACTTTGCAGTCAAGGATGGCCTTGAACTTGTGAGCCTCCTGCCTCCATCCCCCATACACTATTTTAAGTGTAGTGTAAACTACTACACAAAGTTTATAGAGTGCTGAGGATCAAACCCAAGGCTTTGTGGAAGCTAGACAAGCAACTTGAAACAAGCACTTGACTGAGCCACATCCCAGCCCTATTTTATTCTGCTTTGTGGTGGTTCTGAGGGCCTCATGTGGCCAGTGCTCCATCCCCAGGTTACCACCTGTTTTCCCTCTTTTTCATGCCTATATGATAAGGATTTGAGATAATGCTCTACCTAGCCACTAAATGCTTACAAGACACTATACAAGTTGCATGTCAAACTCTAAAGAGTTCACAGAGCACCTCATCATGAAAAGGACTACTGTAACACAGCAGGAAACAGAGGGCTTTCTACTCACATTATGAGCAAATGGAGAAACCACTCAGGCAGGCGCGGCAAAGAGCATGGTTAATATGGTATTAAATTTAAACATTCACCAGTCCCCTCCCTGCCAAATGGCTGCCAACCCTGCTAGTGAGGTCAAATTGAACAAAGCCCAACCAGTCTAGCTTTACGGCACTCTCTGCCTGTCATTACAGACTCAAGATAGAGGCCACCATGAGCGCTGTGGCACATTTACTCTGCATTACTGCTGAATGACAGCCTTCTGACTGGTATTTTGGGGAAGAGTGAGCTGACTCCACCTACGGTCATGCTGGCAATGCCGCAAGTGAAATCTCTACAAGCCGTGCTGCTGATGGGCTCAACTTCTGAAACTGTGATGTCTCAAAGGTCAGAGGAGACTGAACTCATGGGAGGGCTATGGTGAGCACACACTTGTATCTGTATGAACTCATGGGAGTGCTATGGTAAACACACACATGTAGCTGTATAAACTCATGGGAGGGCTATGGCGAGCACACACATGTAGCTGTATAAAGTCTTGCCACATGCACTACTGTGGGAATGACTTTTACTAATGGACATAATCTGGACCAATGACTTAATTAACTGCAGTAAAATCCACGAGCTCTTGGATATAATGACCTGGTACTCTGGAGTCTGATGGGGATGTCTCCTTGGCAACCTCACTTGGTACTCTACCCCAGAAGACAATGAATGAATGTGGGTATGCTTGAGAATTAACATACACCCACCCAGTAGAAACAGTGGAGGTTGGGAAGACCATGTATGAAGGAAGGCGAATTTAGAGATGAAGACAGATCCTGTCTGAGGATTAAGGGTAGAACCAAACTTGGTATTTCCCCAAAGCTGGAGAAACCATTCTGAATAAATTACGGGTGCGGCCTAAGGAGGTGGTAGGAGGGATGGAATGGGACACAGGGTGAGAGGGTTCCAGGGACAGTTCCACTGGCACGGGGGAGGACACAGACAGCTCCATCTGCACACATTGAGACAAGAGACCCATCATATGGTCACACAGTTCTGGGAGAAAGGGGGTTCTAATAGACAGCTAGGGGAACTAGTGTCCTCTGAGTTCAGGCCCATTCTTAAACACTTAATTTAAGAGGCTGGAGAGGCAACCTTGGTGGTTAAGAGCATGAGCTGATCTTACAGAAGTCTGGGACTTGAATCCCAACACCCACAAGGTAGCTTTCTTAACTCTAGTTCCAGGGGAATCTGATGCCCTCCTCTGACCTCCAAGGCACTGCATGACACAGTGCAATTACATACATGCAGGCAATGCACTCGTACACATAAAAGTAATAAATAAAATACTTTAAAAAAAAAACTTAATTTAAGGGGTGGAGAGATAGCCTCAGTGATTAAGAGCACTCACTGTTGTTGCGAAAGACCCAGGTTCAAATCCCAACACCCACATGGAGGCTAACAACTGTCTGTAACTCCAGTTCCTGAGGATCTGACGCCCTCTGTGGGTGCTGCACGATATGGGTGCACTTACACATATGCAGGCATAACATGCACATAAAATAAAAATAGATAAAAAATTTTCAAAAAAACTTAATTTAAGAGTCAGTCTATCTGTTTAGGTGGTTATGATGTTGTACTAATAAATGCTGCAAACTACCAGAACAGTATAACAGACTTCAGACTAACTGAAAAAAAGAATGTAGAATGGTAAGATCTTATCAACCCTGACTGATGCAAGAACTCTGGCAGAGAAAGACCAAACACAGACAAGCAGTCCTCCCCTTGAGCAGGCCTGCTGGGAGCCACAGCCACTACTCAAATTCCATTTCACAAAAGAATTCCAGGTCTTTCCTGTGGAGGAACTTGGTAATGAATGGCAAGGTCTTTCTCTGGGGAACACCAGGGGACTGGAGGTGGGACAAGCACTGTGCAGACCCATCAATACTCTATCTCTTTGTTCTCAGGGCCACTTCAGTTCCAAGGTCAAGGAGTTTCAGAGATTTTTTAAAAAATCTGAACCAGATATGGTGGCAGATGCCTATACAGGGAAACTGACCTGCTACGTGGCAGATCTACCTGGGTTTCAAAGTGAGTTTAAAGGCAGCCCAGAAAACTGTGTTTCAAAAGGTAAAGGGGGCTGGAGACACAATGCAGCTCAATGCAGAGCGCATGCCCGGAATGTGTGCGGTGCTCAGTTCAATCCTCAGTTCTGAAAAATAATCTTTTTTGAAATTTTAAAAAACAGATCATAAAGCAAGTTTCTGACTAGTGTGTTTTGCTTTCTTTGTTATTTAACAAACATCACTTCCCAACCAAATACTCGCAAGAACAAAGCACAGGGAAACCGGCTAGCAGTGACAGCGCTTACCTTCTCTGACTCACTAACACAGTGAAGATCTGCAGAAAACCCGTGGGCCACAGCCTGCTCGCTTATTTCTTCTGCTATAGCCTTTGCCTGGCCCCGTTGTGTCGCGTAGAGTAACAAAAACCTTCTCATCACCTCAGGGCAGATGTTGTAACTCTGCCAGTGAGACTAAACACCAGAAAAGGGAAAAGGAATATTGTTTAATGTATAGTCACAAGTTAGTCTGCCTCAATCTTAAAAAAAGAAAAAGAAAAATCAAGGCTATCCACACATAATATGAAATAGCTTTCTCTACATTTAACACGAATTATAAATGAACTGAAGAGGTAAATAATCAAATCAGGGAGTGAAAGAAGACTAAAACTGTTAATTCTGCACACAGAAATGCACTCGTGATTTCCAAATACTTTTGGGTGTTGCAAGTTAAGTGTCTTTCAGCAGTGCAGGTGAGTACTCTGGTAATGTGTGTCCCAGCACCATCATAGGACCAGAGCCCCATGTGTGACACGGGCTGATACACATTAGGGGCCTGAGCAAACCAGAAGCCACAGAATCACTTAGAAAGGTCTCGGGTCTTTTCCTTTCCTCTTTTAAAAACGGTAAAAGAAACAACTCGCACTAAAATCGGAGGGTACCTGATTGCTACTACATCCTAACGTTAAAAATCTGTAATCAGAGTATTAAAGGTCACTAAAGTCACACCATACATGAATCACTATTAAGTGGACATATACGTGCACACGGAGAAAAGAGGCTCCAAATTCCTTCTCCAAGAAACAACCAGGAAAAAATAAAGGACATAAAGATTTTCCCACTCCCATTCTAGCCAGTGCGTAGCCATGACTGTCAATTTGTAAGGAACAAATTTAAACTGAAACCCAAACCAAATCAGTTGACCTTTGGTGCATGAGCCAGTTGCAGTTCATGCATGCTCCTGCGGCTCTTCCGGGGCCCGATGAAAGTACAAGATCCCGGGTTCACCGTGAAATGCTAAGAGCCAGACAGTAGCTGAGAGGCCAAGAGGGCTGCCGGAACCGGAAGACGGCGACGACGCCCGCTCGGCGCACAGCGCCCCGCTCCGCAGTTCCGCACCACACGCTCTGCGCCCCGCAGCCCGGAAGTACCTGTCCGCCACGCTCTCCCGGGACCCGCACCCCAGAACCCGGCGCCCGCGCGTGTGCGCATGCTCCGCACTCCCCACCAATGGAAAGCCCCGGCGGGGAACTCGGCCAATCACAGAGCGCCGGATGTGGGCGGGCCCAGGACGGGCGCAATGGTCCCGCGCATGCGCCTGAGTGACCTCCAGGCTGCTGTGGTTTGTGTGTAGAGGCTGCGCGTCCATCCGGGCGTGGCTAGGGTTGGCTCGGCCGCTGAGTGACGCGGGGTCGGGGTAGGCAGTGTCGGCTCTGCGCTCAGAGAGCCGCGGAATCGGGGAGGCTCGGGTCAACTCGGCGGAGAGAGTGTCGCGGGGTCAGGGAGGCTCGGGGAGTTTCGGGTCGGCTCGGCGGGGAGAGCGCCGCGGGGTCGGGGAGGCTCGGGTCAACTCGGCTGAGAGTGTCGCCGGGTCAGGGAGGCTCGGGTCAACTCGGCGGGGAGAGCGCCGCGGAGTCGGGGAGGCTCGGGTCAACTCGGCTGAGAGTGTCGCCGGGTCAGGGAGGCTCGGGTCAACTCGGCGGGGAGAGCGCCGCGGGGTCGGGGAGGCTCGGGTCAACTCGGCTGAGAGTGTCGCCGAGTCAGGGAGGCTCGGGTCAACTCGGCGTGGAGAGCGTCGCTGCTGCTTGCGCGGTTCCGGGCGCTCCGGCAGGTGCTTGGGCCTTTGGACCTGCGCCCACGTGCTCGCGGGGCCGGGTCGGCGGTGGGCCCTGCCGGGCTTGCCTTGTCTTGGGCATCCTTTACCCCTGATCGAGACTTTCCTGCCCGCATCCTCACCCTAGCCTCCGAGTGAGCACGTGGTCCAGCCCCCGACCCCCGAACTTTTTGCCGGCTGAACTTTTTCTTTTTTTTTCTTTCTTTTTTTTTTTTTTTTGGTCTTTTTGAAGCAGGTTCTCCCTATGGCCCCAGCTGTCCTAGATAGAACTCACTATGTAGACCAGGCTGGCCTTGAACTCACAGAGATCCGCGTGCCTCTGCGTCCCGAGTGCTGGGATTAAAGGCGTGCACCACCATGCTTGGCAAACATTTATTTTTAACGGAACAGAATCCTTCCTTCCACTTGGGAGTCGGGGCTAAGAGGTAGAATTTGAATCCTAGCTCTGCAGTTGGTCGTTAAAGCAGGTACTGTGATTTCCCTGGGTTCAGCGTCTTCTGCTCCAAAAAGACAAAGGTACTTGTACAGTAGAGGAGTGAGCACGCCCAGTGACTGACACCCCTGTTAGCCCCATTCATTCCGACGTCTGTGGTCATGGGCTGCAGAAAGTCTGCTCCTGACCTGCAATGCGCCTGAGCCGAGGATGATGCCTATCAGAGCTGGGGGGTTGGGAAGGGGGTGTCACCACTCTGGTACAGGGGCCACAGAAGAGAATTTCAGGTTGAGCCACAGCGAAGCGAGTTCTTTATTGAGGAAACAAAGAATAGACCAGTGAAATAGTCATGTGCAGGTGTTAGGTATAGGGGAGAACCTCAGCAGTAACTAAGTGATCAGGGGGCTTTGGAGCTGTTTATTCTGCAGCCACGTTTACATAGTAGTGGTGCGTGCTGCTCTCCTGGGTCTTCTGGTCCTCAGAAATCTGTCCTTGAACAGGACTTTTTAAAGGTGCATTATGCGGCTTTGCAGCTACTAGAGGTAAGACATTCGTCAGAGCATCCTTAGGGTACATCACAAGGAATAATTCATTAAAAAAAAAATCTCATTTGTGCTTGCCCAGAAGGGAGGGTGCAGTTCTTACACAGGTGGCCTGCTAGTTATACTGAAATTGTTGGCTGTCAGCTAATTAGAGATGGAGATCAGAGCCAAGAGAGTGGGGACCCCCTCTCTCGTAAACAGCTATCCTACCTCACTGGGTGAAGAAACCTGGCTTTTCTGGTGCTTATATTTATTTGGGTGATGTTCTTGGGATATTCACTATTATTTTGTGAGCGTTGATATTAAGTCATTTTCTCAGTATATTTGACCACAGCTTTTTGTTTTTAAGTTGAGGAGAGCTGAGAGTCTATGGCATGGCTTTGATTTCCCTACGGAGGAACTTCTGTCATTTATCTGATTTCTGGATACCTGGAGTTGTGGCCGCCCTGAAAGCGCCCCCTAGGGCCAATCATATCCACAAGGTGGTCAGAGATCACCTATATCTTTGGTTCGATTCCCTGCAGCCTGAGCTGCTCCAGGTCAGATTTCATCATGCCTATTGTAAAAGCTTCCATTCTGAAAATGGACATGACCTTCATCCAGTTGGTGAGCCATCCTTCTCCCCAGTACATGAAGAGGACCCGGTGGAGCAGAGTCTTCAAAACCAGAACGAACAGGTGTTTCATAGGAGACTGAACAACTTTACCTCAGCACAAGAAGTGCTGGGTTTTCTAAGCACACTGGAGACTCTGCCTGACACCTTGGCAGTGGGAGCTTTACAGAGGATTTGTGAGGTGGAAAAGAGAGCCGGGTCTCAAGAAATACTAGGGGACAGTGCCTTCCAAGCCCTGTGCTCTCGGTTTGAACAGGAACCTTCGCATCTGTCAAACGCTGTTTTGATGACTGCTTTGCAGTCTCTGATTGTGCTGCGTGTGGATCCTCAAAGCAGCCTGGTGCTGAACCTTGTGGCAGAATGCCAGAATCGCATGAAAAGAGGTAGTCTGGAGGTCCACCATCTTTTTGTTCTTGGGGAAAGTCTGGTTCAGTTGCAGGGTCCAGGTCGTGAGACACTGGAACTCATTATATATCGACTGCAAGGTGAAAAATTGGAAGCATTTACCCCAGAGGATATCGTGACCATTTACAGAATTCTACAGGCGTGTCCTGAAAAAGTAGAACAGCACCAAAAGTTTCTAAACACAATAAACAGCTTTTCCCCTTCAGTAGTTTCCTACCTGAGTCCCAAGTCCGTCAGCCAAATGCTCACTGCCTTGGTTGTCCTTGATCAGACGCAGGCTCTTCCTCTGGTTCTAAAATTGGGCAAATATGTTGTGAGACACATTCCTCGTTTTACGCATGAAGAGCTCAGGAAAGTCTTGGAGGCGTTTGTGTACTTGGGACACACTGACAGGTTTTTAGTAAGGGCTCTAGAACAGCATGTCTCTGCTCTGTGCCTCACCTTGGACCCTGAAGTTGCCTGCACGGTGACGGACTACTGTAGTCGGAAGCAGATTCTTTCCAAGCCCATCCTCAACACAGTCGCAGAGATTTTCATTTGCCAGTCAGAAAAACTTTCACCCAGTCAGATTGCTGATTTAATCGAACCATTTGGAAAGCTCAATTACCTGCCACCAAATGCCCCTGTTTTATTTAGGAAGCTAGAAAGTGTGCTGTTCGCCCGTTTCAATTCTTTCCCGCCGAAAACCCTGCTGAGACTCCTTCATTCCTGTGCCCTGGTTGAGCACCATCCGGTCAACTTTATGTCAAAACTTTTCAGCCCTTTTTTTCTTCAGCGCCTGCAAGGTGAGCTTAACGTTTTTCTAGTTGAAAAGAAAAATGAACCTCTGTAACTTGGGTGGTTTGGGGGTGTTTGCATTGAGCAGTGCTCTGCCTTGAGCTTGAAGGTGAGATCTGGAGTTAGAGGTGCCCGTGTAAACGGCTGAATGTGAGGGCATCTGTGAGGAGGAAAGCAGGGTCACTAGATGTGCCACAGCTGCAATCTGCTGTGTTCCCACTGGGTTGGGGGTGCAGTTAAGGGCCACCGTCACCGGGTTGGACATGAGTGAGCCTGTGGAGTCCCTTCTCCCCACAAGAAGACTGTGATTCATCTTGGCTCAGGGATACTCAATTTTCTAGATGCCCCAAGGTTAATCTATTGCTATTACTTCATTTGTAGTACCTGTTTTATATTCTGTAGCTGGGAATTTAGATTCTTGGAAGTCATCTGGAAGAGGCATAATTGGTGCTGGGGTCGTTTAAAAAGTGTACTTCTGGTGAACAAGTCACATGGTTGTGATGTCCTCATTTTGCTGGCCAAAATTAAAACTGAGCAGTTTTTTTTTTTCAGGTGAAGAGTCGTATTTGGACCCATTGAGCCTGGCACAGCTGACCCAGCTTTTCCTAACCTCAGTCCTAGAATGTCCATTCTATAAGGTAAAGACAGACACATGGGTGCTGCATCTGCACCCCAGGGGCCACTTTTCTTGACCTCTTTAGTCCTTGATTCTGGTCGAGGTGTCTCAGTAAAAAGCAGAACTTGCACTTAGTTGGAGCGGTTCCCCCGATAGTCTCATCTGCTGGAGAACCGTGTCTCCCTTCTCGTCTGGGACCAGTCTCTTGCTGTGTGGTTCCAGAGATGTCACACATGTGAGCTTTGGTGCTGCCAGGTCCTCTGGGAGGGTCTTCACACCTCCCACAGCTGTCCATTGTATCCCATTGTCAACCTCTGCACCGAACAGATCAAATTATTTCTGAATATCTTTGCTGTTATCTGGAGAACATAGTTTATCTGGCATGCGCCCTCCCCACAACACTGATCTGGGCACTCCCCACAGCACTGGACAGACTCATTCTGACACATATGGTGCATAGGATTGGTGCATATTGGTCCCCAGGCTTGGCTTTCCATCCACCCCTCCATGCTATCTATACACAGTTGACAGTAATTTTTGGAATAAGGTCTAGGGATAGAAAAATATTTCCTTTCCTTTTCTTTTTGAAACAAGATTTTACTGGGTAGTCTGAATGGCCTGGAACTCACTGTGTAGACCAGGGTGGCCTTGAACCTCAGAGATCCACCTGCCTCTGCCCCCCATGTCCAGGGATCAAAGGTGTGCGCCACCATGGCTAGTCAGGCACATTGCTATTTTCTTTCAAAACTGCTTGGACAGCACTAATATCTGTTATAATACAAGTTCCCTCCATTTCTTCCATCCATGAAAGAACAATGTTTCTGGCGGTTTCTATCCCCAAATTTATGTATACAAATGTATGTGCTGTCTTTTTTTCCTTCTAATGGCATGGGACTGACTACATGAAGTGCAAGATACAGATGGTAGGCTCTCCTTAAGCAGGCCGCGCTGTTTTGTGGTGTGTGTTCTCCCTTCTGGCAGCCAGGCTGTAAGAAGCACACTAGCATAACCTTGCCCTAGAGCCTTTGGTTTTCGTCTGTAAACTAGATTCCTCCAAGTGGGATTCTTGAATGAATGTTAGATACAGGCAGATCTTTCTCCTACCAGTGACACGGGGCAACTTTCCCCAACAGGAAGTGAAGCGACATCCACGTTAACTAGTCCCCTTAATCCTTGTTCTGCTCCTGAGCAGACTGTCATGTCACGTGTTTAAGTGGCATTCTAATGGGCAGTAATGACACTGAGCATGTTCTCAAATGTTTGCAGTCCATTCGTATTTCCTATGAATTGCCTGTCTTAATGATGTTTTTGCTCTACAGAAGTTTTTGAAGTTTCTGTAGCTGGATCTGTCTTACTTTTGGGTTATCCATCTCACTTAAAAAGACTGTGTTACTCCTCGCACAGCTATACAACATCCCGTCTCTTAATTCACTTGTGATTTAATTGTATGTTTTAATTTACAAAAATTATACATTGTGTTGTTTTGAAGTGCATATTTGGCTATCTCACTGCATATTAACATGCATTATCTCATATGTTGTGTGTGTTGTGAACATTTAAAATCTTCGTGAACAGAAGGCATCACCGGGATTTACTGTGGTCTGATGGGTGATGGTTGACCTGCTTGTTTTCCAGATTACTAGTTGGTTGTATCACTAGCCCTTTCTTTCTGAATTGAAAATGTCATGTTCTCCACTATTAAAAGCCAGACAGTTAGGACCTTGAAGCAGCTCTGAGTGATAGCATTCCAGAGATTCTCAGCCGTAGGTGCTGCTTGCTTTTACACATCAATGCTGTGAACTGTCATAGTCTTACACACTGTCATTTTGAGAGAAACGTGCTCTAAGTCCTGGAAAACATCATTCCTAGAAAGTCAGTTCCTGTTGATCTTTTTTCCCAGTAACCTTGAGCTCGTTCTCTAGTCCTACATTTTATTTTTCTTGTTTTCATTTATGAATTTTAGGGCCCCAAACTTCTTTCTAAATATCGAGTGAAGTCATTCTTCACCCCGTGCTGCTCCTTGGAGACCCCTGTGGATTTCCATCTCTATAAGTCGGTGGTGATTGGACTGATGGACCTTTTAGGATCAAGATTATGTTTTGCTTCTAAGGTGTTAACACCCTGTTGTTATACCATAGGTAAGTACCGTGGGGTGTTTTGTTGTTTGGTCAGAAGCATCTTGTCCCTCTTTAGGCGAGTTGTGGTACTTGGGAGCCGTGGGTCTCTTGAAATTCAGGATATCTATCCCTCACCTGAGGGCAGGCAGCAGTGGTGGTTAGCTGTGGTGCTGGAGAGCCAAGACCCCGGGTTTGAGTCTCAACATTAGCTTCGTAGTAGCAGAATGTCCTGGGCAGAGGCTTTTAACCTTTTTCTGCTGGATTCCTCGTGTAGCAAATAAAGAACAGTGATCTCAGAGACTGGTAAACGGAAGGTAGTAAGTGCTCAGTGATCTCGGCTGCTGCTGTAATTCAGGCCTGAGCTGTCTGGGGTACTGTTCTTACATGCGACTATTTAAATACAATTTAAAGATTTTAGAGTTCCATTCCTCAGTCACACTGGCCACATTTCAAGTGCTCAGTAGACACACATGGCTCATTAAGTGACTAGGTTAGACACTGGCATAAAAATTTCTCTCTTGCAGAGTTCTGCTCTGAAGAGCTTATGCAGGAGTCTTTGTGCCTCTGTCTTAGCTTTCTTTCAGATTGCGGAGTAACAGAAATCACACAACAGCCACAGTGTATAGACCACATCTCACTCTTCCTTCACTGGGCTCTTCACAGAGTGAATAGTGGTATCCAAGAGGAAAGCAAGGGCAGTCTCCCTCCCTGCTCAAGAGCTGTGCGTCAGGGTGGGGGATGCTTTGCTTAACTGGGGAGAGGGACAGGACCGTAAGAAAGTTCCCAGATGCCTAGGTGTTTCTGACTCCTTAACTTAGACAGTTTTCTTCACTCTGAATTGTTACAGGAAAAGGACAGTATCATTGGCATACTGCGGCTCCCTTAAGGCACCACACTTTATTTCAGGTAGTTGAGACCTTACTTTAAAGCTGGTTTCTTGATCATAGGAGCAGTTCAATTCAAATTCTCACCATTGATTGGTTGTGGCCATTACTTTGCAGCTTCAGCCCACTTATAAAGGCAGTATGGAAGATTTGAAAGCCGCGACAAGAGACAGGAAGATAGTGTTTGTTGAGGGTATCACGAGGAATTTTTCCTTTCTTTTACCAGATGTTGTAATTAAAGTAAATGAAGAAGGATTTGTCTTGCCATTTACAGCAGATGCGGATGTCCATAAAAGGTACAGAAAGTTGTAGTTTTTAATATTACAAGACTTAAGTTAAACTGACATTTTTCTAAAGATGTTTCTGGAAGTTAATGTACTACTGAGCATATCACCTTTGGGAGATTCTTGTATTCTGTAAACATTGATATTAATTGAACTAAATGCTTTTTTCATCAGATCAAAGACTCTCTTCATAATTTATCTAAAGATAGTAGTGGAACATTGAGGTAGTCAAATCCCAAATGAACTCTGGCAACTAAAGACATACGTATTTTGAATTGCTTCATAAACTATGCTTATTCTTAATGATTTTTCAGGGTAGCACTGTGCATTGATGGTCCACAAAGATTCTGCTCTAACAGTAAACACTTACTAGGCAGAGAAGCCATCAAACAAAGACACCTCCGATTACTCGGCTACCAGGTGGTTCAGGTACAGTGTATCTTTTTGTTTTTCCCAAGAAACACTTCCTGTTACAAATTTGCTTTCTCCTGGGTGCAGTTTGGTACAATGAGGCACAGTACAGTTTTTAAAGACTTCCCTTAAGGGAGCAACAGTTCATGAATAGGATAGTACCAAACCAAGAGAGGTTTAGGCCTCACAGGCAAATCTGATGGCAGAAACTCCCCAGTTGAGGCTTCCTTTTCCTAGGAATGTCAGGTTGACAACTGATAAGCTGTGCAGCACAGGGCTTTGATAGGGCAGATAGTAAAGGAAAGGATGGCTTGGTTATAGGCATTTGTTGCCTATTTGATGTGTATTGCATGAAGGCCCCTAGTTCTAAAAGACATTTTGCAGCGCTAGTTATGTTAGATTAGGTATTTGCTTGTGATTGCAGTTTAGGCAAGGGCCCTGATGGCATTATCGGCACACGGTTTATTCTCAAGACCTAACTGGCATTATCTGCACACAGATTATTCAGGCCCGGTCTCCATATGGCTTACTCTAGCAATAAGTGGTCTGACACCTGAGCTCACACAAAATTTTATCAGGCTTCAATCTTAAGGAGTTTGTTCATTAGGCCTAAATCATTTGACATACCTCTTGTCATTAGACGTTTCAAAGCTTCGTTTTTTCCTAAAGTGGTATGTAACTATTCTTATCAGCATGCTTAGCTCTGCTTTCAGAATTACTAAGACTATGTCTTGTTTATGTTCTTGGTGGGTGCAGGTGAATAAGGTAGCTCATTAAGTCCAGGGTCTAATTCTGCTCTACACTTACAGTATTGTCATGCTTTCATCATGTATTGTTTTTTTATATTTAGTATTTTTATGTGTATGAGTCTATTGCCTCCGTGTATGTGAGTGCACCTGTGTCATGCAATGCCACGGAGGTCAGAAGAGGGTTAGGGTTCCCCTGGAATGGTTAAGGACTGTTCATAGCTGCCATGTGGGCGCTGGAAATCGAACCCGGGTCCTCTGCAAGAGCAGTCAGTGCTCTTAACCGCTGAGCCATCTCTCCAGCCCTCATCATGTATTTTATAAGGTGTCTTGGTGTCTTGGGGGATTGATGGTGAACATGAACGAGCGTGTCCCGGGTCTGAACTGTTTATTACCTACTTTGTAGTTCCTGTCTGGCTTTTTTCATGGCAGCGTGCACATCCCCAGACTCATGTTCCAAAAGCTAATTTTGCCAGTGTATACCCCAAACAATGATTTCTTCACTGCCTAAAGCATAAGCCAAGAACTCCTCTAACTCTTAATATCCAGGACCAGCCATTGTCCAGTCTACATACATACAGACCCTTGAAACACATGGCTGCTGCCCAGCCCCTCTGTTCCCTCCTGTGTTCTTTCACCATCTCTCTCTAGTCTGTCCCCTGCCCCATGCTCCTCTCTCCCCTCCCCACCTCCACTTCTCTCCACTTTCTGTCCTGGCTTGTTTGCCCCGGGCCTACCTCTAGCTCTGTGTGTAAATTCTGATGGTTCATCAGCCCCAGCTGTGTTCACGTCTCATCCTCCTCTAAATGCAGACTCCCTCTCAGTACGGATTGTTTTAGGAATGGCTTTTATAGACTGGATATACTCAACTAATGACTTTAACAAACTCTGGCAAAACCATGTGCTCTGGGTCTTGGGACCTTGGCACCCAGTCTCCTTTGGTGGGAACCTCAGTTTGGTACTCCACCCAGACAGCTAATAATGAAGGAATGTGGGTATTCTTGAGAACTAACAAATCAGTGGCCCTCTCTCTCCTGCACGCAGTGAAGACTGGGAAGGACAGGTGACCCTGGGCGAGGAAGGTGGTCTAGGATTCGGAGTGAAAGGATGGAGCCAGACATGTACTTCCCCAGTTAAAGCTGAAGAAATTATTTTTTAAGAAAACTATGGGTGTTGTTGCACTTGTGGATGGTTCCAGAGAGCAGGTCTCCAGGGACAGTTCCATCCACATGGCTCTAAGAGATACTTGGGGGAGCGAGTGTCCTCTGAGTTTGGGCCCACATTCAAAAACTGAATTTAAGAGTCAGGCTTTTTGCTCAAGTGATTATAATGTTGGCATAGTGATGGGGCGGATTGTGAGTATATTTAGTCCTCGCAGAGCTGCTCAGAGCTCTGGGAACTGTGGATGCAGAAACCAGGTGTGACCTTTGTCCTCCCTGCTGTGAGACAGGGTAGGCCAGCAGTCACCTGGGATGGTCAGGGCTTTTGATGGACATTACTTTCCTCCCTTCATAGGTCCCTTATTATGAGCTGGAGCTGCTGAGATCAAGACTCAAATTGGTGGACTATCTACAAAGAAAACTGTTCTCTCAACGCTCCATTACCCGTTGGTAAAGAAAGTTCAGACTGATTCCAGGATTCAGATAGTGAAAGAACTTGTGTTTGTAGGGAGCACTGTTTAATTTATCAATTAACCACTTTATGGAAGTAGGTTTACAGACTTGGGATCTGAAGAGGGTCCATGGTTTTTCTTATACTATGTATACATGTATTGGTAAATTTAAAAATCATTTTAACTTAATACTAGTGTCATGGATACCTTGTACGTGGCAAACAGAATCAGTCCAATAAAGGAATGTAATGAGTACGTGTTAATTTTCAAGTTTTGAAGGGTTACTTGCTAACTGAAAATGCCCTTGGGAGGCCTGTGCCCCAAGGTACGGAAGGTACCGGCCCTTCAACCTACTCTAGCTCATGTTTTCTTGGGGGAAGTGCTGTTTCGTAAGAAGGAAGTGCAAATAGATTTTATAGCCCTTAGCCACAGTGATTTGCAGTCATAGAATTATACAGAGATAATCTGTTAGCAAATAAGATGGGTTTTTATGGGACCCTGTCTTGTTCTTTTTAAGGTACGAGGGTGGGAAAGCAGAGCCCTGTGGGCTAGGGTTTAAAGTGCTCGGAGGGAGTCGGGACTGGGCTATGTTATTGGTGCGTCAGTGCCATTGTCTTTTCCTGTTCTATCAGGGCCCAAGTTCATGGGACAAGGTATAGCACGAGGACTGGGAAGCCCGGTTCTGCAGTGCCGCCACACTGGGACATCCTGCAGTTTACCACCCACCAGTTTGCTGAGTGTGTTGATGGAGTGAGTGCCCCACCACTCCAGTGCATTCAGCACTTGCTGACTGTGTCCTGAGAAAGTCTTGTCATAGTGGGCTGTCTTGGGCTCCTAGGACATTAACAATAGTGCAGAATGCATAGATCACAGCTCTCCTGGTTTGGAGGCTGAAAGTCCATAGGCAGGCAGACAGGGCTCCTTTGGGAAAGCACCTTTCCTTCAGCTCCCCCCCCCCCCCATGCTTTCGTTTGTGGCAGCATAACTTACCCACCTCCTTGTAGGGTACAGGCCATCTTCCAGTTAGTTGGTGTGCATGTCAGCCTCTTCATGCAGCCCTGTGTGTGTTCATCTTCACATGGCTGTGTCCACGTTTTATAAGGATGCCAGCCATGTTAAGGCTAATGAAGGAAGAAAATGAAGCCTGCAAAATTTCCCAAGTAAAATCATATCCACAAATACCAGGGACTAGGACTTAAGTGTTTTCTTTATGCTACGACACAATTGAACCTGCAACAAGTTGAAATTATGTGTGTACATACAATGCTCAGAAAAATGACTCGCATAAATTAGCGAGGCCCTGTCTCAGATTTAAAAACAAAAGGGCTGGGGATGCAGTTCAGTAGTGGACCACTTGCTTAGCCTGTGCAAAGCCCTGGGCTCAGTCCTGGCACCACTGAAACTAAAGTGCACGTGTGAGTGCATGTGATAAGGTCACTAGTCGCATTTTCGTCCCATCATGTTCTTGACGCCTTCTTTGGATCTGCTTATCTTTGGAGAATGGAGACTCAGTGAACTCTAAGGTCACTTGTAAAGCTACATCTTGATTTTAGAAAAGAAACCATGGAGCAAATGCCAATTGAGCCCACGTTCCCAGGTGACTTGGTATTCCCTTTGGGTCTGGCGTGAGATCACGTAGCTGATACGTACCTTTTCACAGTAAGTAGACCATAAAACCTGGTGTTGATGGCTTCTGAGCTGAAGATGTCTGTGTCAGGCCCCAGAAACCCCTTCACACTTCCTTGCTGTAAAAGTCCAACCCTCTGACACTTTGCCTCTAGAAGCTCTGGCTTCCTCTCCAGCCTGACGTAGTTATCTTTCCCACTCTGGCCTCGACCCACTCACATGATTCACCCCTCCCATGGTCAGCACTCCCTTTATATGTCAACACTGAAATCTACAGCTTAAAGAGTGAGCCAAATGTAAATAAATAGCCACATCAAGTTATGACACTTAGAAACTCTAAAGGAAAGTACTGGCCAGCGTGTTTGGTGTATTTGCCCCAGTCCTCACCCACCATGCCCATCAGAATCCTGTTCTCTCCCCTGGTGCCCCTAGGGCTCTCCTCTACCCACCTCACATACTTGTTCACTACATAAGGAAAGTGCTGGTGGTGGTGGGAGCCATACAGTGCTAGCTAGAGGTCCAGAATGGAGCCCCTCCCTTGAGTGAGGAGATACAAATAGGTAAGTGAGCAGGGGGTGTGCCAGGGTGGCATGGAAGCACACAGGACCCCTGGGAATGTACAGGCCATGGGGAGTTATTTGGAGGTTGAGTTTTAGGACAGCAGGAGGGTCTGGGGTACAGAGGCCATGGCCACTGTTCTTAGTGCAAAGCAGGAGATAATTCCCAGAAAAGGAGGCCGCACTTAACCTTGGCACCATTCAAAAAAAATTTTTTTAAACCTGAAAGTGTTCATGTACAGAATGCAAATGATTTAGGCTTCACCCATAGGGGTGAATTTGACAAGTAGATAAGAAATCCAAGTTGTAAGGTGAACTTTCCTGCTTCTGAATGTTCGTGTCTGTCTCTGTGCCTGTAAACATTTCTAAGCTGGTAGTTCTTGGCATCGCATATTTCACAATTTTGAGTAAGGTATAATCTTGCTATATTTTAAAAAGTAAGTTAAAGAGAGAAAAATGGGTTAAAATCGCTAAGCCAAGCTGACTTTGGAAGCCACAGTGATAATCCTCGGCATGTCGCTAGGGGACAGCAAAGTGTATGGCATTGACTGGACTGCAGTGTTGGAAACCTGGGAGAGCGCGAGGGGAAGAGGCTGTATCTGTGTGTACACACCCGTGGATGAGGGAAGGGGGTCAGGAGCTGTGGGAAAGTAATGACAAACAAAAGGCCTTAGACTGGGAGAGAGCAAGCACTCCCCAGGGATGAAGAGATGCCAGCTGGAGGAGAGGTCCCTCAAGACCGGGATTCTTCCATCCTTGATGCCTAGTTCATTTGGGGTATATGGATTCTTGGCAAATAATTCTCAGATGGACAAAAATAGGAAGGACGTATTTGAGTGAATTCTGAGGAAACGCAGTCAGAAAAGGCTAAACCAAACAACAGAAAACAGCCCACTTCCTAGAGGACTGAAAATCCAGGGTGGGGGATGTCGGCTTCATAGTGGTAAACTTGGCAAACTAATTTCCCAAGACTCAGAATTCCCCAAAGTGAAAATGGACCCAGATCAGTGTGGAGATGATGGGCTGGTATGAACCTGCTTTGTGAGCTGTGTAGGCCAGTACCCGGAAAGTGGTAAATACTCAGTGAACATCGGTGCTGTTAATGGAACATGTGCCACTTTTCTTCCGCAGATAAGCTTTATTATGCTGCTCGGAGTGAAGCTTCACATAGGGAATGGGCTGTGGGGAGGAACACAGCCCACTTGCTGCTTAAGACATGTAGGGGGAACTACTGTGAGCTTCTGATAACCATCTTCATGGCTAGCACTGAGAATATAAAAGCACAGTGTCAGAAACTTGTGCTATTTGAAACCAAATGGATAACATGGGACATGACGCCCCTCTCTGACCTGCAGGTTCTGAGCCACATGTGGGACACCTCTGTGGCCTGCAGGTTCTGAGCCTCATGGGACACTGACACAGAAGTAGCTGCAATTCCCTGCCCAAATGCCAAGTGAGCCTCTGATGAGAGAGTTTAGGGCAGAACAGTAAAGGGTGACAGCGCCTTCCTAGGGTGGCTGTGTTTATTCACACAAGTTTCAGCCCAGCTTCATTGGGTTTTATGGTCTTCTACCTTTCCCCAGGTCCCCAAGAACCCTGCCTGTCCTTTGCTGGCTAGTCATCTGAGTTTGGTTTCAACTTGCTGCCCGAGTCAGAAAATCTTTATATATTGATATTCTTTGGCTATTTGACTCCATCAAAAGAAATTTTGCTTTTATATATTTGTCATACCATTGCTCAGAAAAGATAAATGTCTCTTCATTGACTCCCACAGTCTCTGGCATTACAACACTTTGTGGGCTGAACTGATATTTTGAGCTCTGATGTTTGCAAGAAAAAATATCTCTAGGTAACCCTACTGTTTTTGACTTATTATGGAAAACGTTGAGCACTCATAAGAGCTGAAATATTTGTATAGTGGATCCACAATCCCTTTATTCAGCATGAAAAATTACCTTAATTTTCTAATCATGTTTCTTCTTTCCTTTTTAATAGGAATGTTTCTAGAAACATCCAGGCCGTTTTATCATTTTGCCCTCTGTGCATTTATAATCAATACTTCTTTTTCTAACTACTCAGCCATTGCAACTAACAAAATTAATCACCTTCTACAGTTTCACATCTACACAATATTCTAAGTTCCTTATGGTGCCTCTGTACTTTATTGTATTTGAATCCTTATATTACTTTTAGCTATGAAGTAATTAAATCTCTGATAACTGACAACTACTTCTTTTTTCCCCCCACACAATTTTGAGATCATTCATTTTTTTGGAGAAATTAATTGGTTACCCTGTAGAGTGACACCCCCTCCACTGTTTCCCTGTCATATAACTTACTCCTGTGTCTGCTGTAATTCCTGTTGAGCTGAAAGTAGCATCTGGAATCCTGCTTATTCAGCTTCAATCCTCATTCATTCATATCCCCCCCCCTTCCCTCTCCATCAGTCTTTCTCCAATAGTTTTAGTTTCTGCTGCTTGTGGCTTAAATCCATTATTTATCCAGATGTTGTCAAAAAATAAAATGGTTTACTAACTCTATCGTTCCTTTTGACTATCTTGTATTTGCCTAGAAAGAAAATCTGTCGAGTGAGAGAGCCTGCTGTAAAAACCCAGTAAGGGCTGGGTTGGACCATCGATTGTTTTTCTCCCTTGGCAGTTGCATATCATCATCTAGCATTATGATAGCCAAACTGGTTAGAAGGCGTCCAGGTCAGTTCCTGTTCCATTGCTTTAAACGTTCACATGTGCAGGCTTCCAGTGGCCTGAAGGCCTCTGCTTCCTGTGTTCATGAACCAGCCCTGGCTCTTACAATCTTTCTGCCCCTCTTCCACAGTTGTCCCTGAGCTGTGGGTGGATGAGGTTCCAAAGAAGGGTCCTATCCTACGCTCTGCAGTCTCTTATTTACATTTGGCCAGTTGTGGCCTTCTGTGTACATCACACTCTGTTGTATAAGGAAGCTTTACTGGTGAGAGTTGAGGGATGCATTAGTTTTCTCTCTACCCCTTGTAGCAGTGGTGGCATTGAGCACAGGATCCATGCCAACTCAATTAAGCAAGGGCCCAAAGGGGAAGAGAGGAATGGGTGG